TGACAGAAGAGACCCTCCAAGCCAGGATGAGAGTGGAGGTGAGACTGTTTTCTAAACTTCTCATCACATGTATGTAAACAACAGCATTCCCTTTGGAGCTGTATCTTCCCAACAGTAACCTGGGCTTCTTACTCAAGCCCTGCTGTTTTTCCTGTTCCAAGCCAGCAAACACTTTTCATTCCCTCCAATCCTACTTGTTAGTGTTTGATTTTGTGTTCAGCCCATTCCTATTGCAGTGGCTGCATCATTTCAGAAGGCACCTGCCTGTTTCTGATCCCTGTCAGTTGCAAATGCTCCGCAGTAGCAGAAACACTCCTGTACAAGCTGTCACTTCCCTGATAACAGCTGCAGACAGGTAGCAGCTTCAAAAGGACCCTGCTGCACTTCACGTATGTTTCCCAGCATACCATGAAAGCACCTTAGATCTGGCAGAAAAGATGAACAGTCATGTCATAGCTTTGCATTTGTGTCAAAACACTTTGCCGGTGCTCTCAAACACTTTTTTTAAGGCCTCACATAAGGACATCAACATGTTTCATTTTCCATACTGTTCTAAGAATTTCTGCTGCTTCTCTACCAACTAGCCTCTGTCCCATAGCCTGAGGTGACCAATAACCCAGTAATAACATAAATCCACAGCTGGCAGAAAATGATACTGCCTCTGAGGGGAGGAATTCTTCCAAAGACTGGGTGGCCAGCAGGCCCACTCCCAGCTCTGCCCTGGCTTCTGCAATGACTCTTGGTAAAGCATTTAGTCCCTTTGTCTCCTTTTGCAACATGGCACAGCTCCTTCCTTCGCCTGCCTAATGTTCAGGACAAGGGCTCTAACCATGTAGGTGTTCCAGTGAAAGGCGTCTGACCTCTGCTATAGCTGCCAAGAGTAACTGTAATATGGGAAATAGTAATGAGTCTGCCTTTCTCCCCTGCCTGGGAACTAGGTAAGGGACATCATCCCACTTGACATTAAAAGAAAAAAAGCAGGCACAGAAAGGAGATGGGATTTGTTCCAGGTCACACAGCAGATCAGTGGCCAGGAACAGAAGCCAGCTCCCACTTCCCTTCTCAGACCCCTCTTCCTCCTGCTCTCTGCGGATCATTTCAGTGTGTACTTTAATCACTAGACCATGTTTGTTTTCATGGTTGTGCATTCCTCCCATAAAGCACGCCCACATGATATTGGATCCTCTTTGCGTTGGCAGGGCAGGTGGGTGGATAGCAAGGAGAAAATGATCAATTCCCTGAGTCCTTTCCCAGTTAGGAATCCTGCTTGACTCTGGCACTGAGTTTCTTAGGGGGGGTTTCTAGACTTTCTGACTCCCTGCCCCACTAACACTCCCTTGTCCTGGAGGAAAGCAAGCATGCAGAGCAGTTGAAACCTGAACTGGCAGACAGGAAATTCAGTGCACTGTCTGAAAATGACACAGTGATAAGGGGCTGAAATGCCCAGAGTCCTGAAGTGAGGGAGGAGAATAAAACCCTCTTCACAGCATTGGGATTTATCTGCATGTCACTGTAATTCAGCATGATGCGTTCTGGAAAGGCCCATGCATGCATTTGATAGCCCGCATTTGAACTTCAGTGAAAAAGGAGTTGACAGCCTCACTGCACCTCTTGCTGGGTTCCGAGCACAGCTTTCTATTTGAAAACACAGCACCTTGTGCAAACAGGCTTCCTTTGTGTCCAGCATGAGGGAGTGGAGGGGATTGTGTTTTATTTGACACAGAAGCTTGCAGGGCCAGAAGGCTCAAGAGAAGAGACTACCAGAAACAACTGGCTTCAGCCAAACAAAGGAAATGATATTTTAGAAGCAAGAGGCCTGAAGACAGCCACACTGCACCGGAGGGAAGCAGCAGAGGTAACAGAGCAGGGCAATAAACTTCAGTGAGTGACAGCAGCTCTGCTGCTTCCATTTGCAAGAAAGATGCATATGAAAGAGCAGCCCAAGGAGCAGACTGTGGTGTATCCCACAGGGAGGGGGCCTGGAAGGGAGAGGCAGGCAATGCTTGACTCTGATTTTTAAGTATTTCAAGTTTTGACCCTTAAACACTCAATTTTATGAGTCAATACCTTTTCAGTTTAACAATTAAATGTTTTTAGTCATAAATACTGTCTATGTTCCTGACAATCCTTTGAGGGGATAGCATGCAGACTGTGTTTACTTCACCTCTTCTAGATTTAGCTTGCAAATCAAAAGGTTGGTTTACACTGACAGCTACACTGTAAGCTATGCAGCTCTTGCAAGGCTGCCAGGGCAAATATGTCTTCCCACAAACAGGAAAGAAAACCAGGTCCAACCATCCTTCCACTACAGTTCACTGGTTAGAGACTGTGGGAAGGAGGAAGTCTGCTTGCAGGGAGTTATGGTTCAGCAAGAGAGCACTCTGCAAAAGCTGTGCCATGACCGCATCTGTAAGTGCAGCTCTGCCCATTGGAATTAGGAGTTTCATGATCCAAAGGACAATGTGAAGTGGCATTGTCTGTTAGCCAGAAACCAGATGTATGAAATCTAGTCCTCATATATGAAGATATATGAAATCTTGGGTCCTTACTTCATCTACACACAGGTTTATCTTCATGCTTGGAAAGTCTTACCTTCACCTTCATGCTGCATCAGTGTCAGATTCTTCTGCTGTACTCTGTGAAATGCAACAGGGTAGGGAGTCTGCAGGGAATGCCAGTAAGGTTAATAAAGATCAACATAATAAATTATAGATACACTAACTACAGAATCACTCTGGAGAGAAAGGATACAGTGGAAATGTTGATGTCTTCAGTGACGGGTGTCCTTACTACTTTGCTACTTCTTGGCAAACAGCCATCCAACACTAAGCAGCCCTCATGAGAAGATTCAACAGGCTTTGTTACCAATGGATAGCAATCTGAACAAAGAAAACCCAGATTTAGCTCAACTGAGTTGAACTTTATCTCTGAGACCCACGCCTCCTGTGACACATTGCCATAGCAACAGGAAGGCCTGTGCTAGAAAGGGTGCTGACTTCTTTCTATCCTTCATCTTTGGTGGTTTCAACCATCACTTTTTTACCACAGGCAAAACTTTCAGGGAAAATAAGATGGGGCAGGGACAGGGAAATAAAGATATCTGGAGAGGCAGAGCTTAAGGAAGATAACCTGGGCCTGTCCCCAGCAGTCCTGTGCACTCCCGTCCATCAGATGCCATTGGCATCTTAGCCTTGCTCACTGTAAGCTTTGGACTTTCTTCTAAAAGATTCCTCATGTAACTTGCAGTTCACTTGGGAAGGCCTGACTGAGAATGAAACTCTCGTTGTCACGCACAAGTGTGTTTATTGTGAAATGAAGTGTAGTAATTGGATCTAGCAGGCTTTGAAGCTCAGTGTCTCTCTCAGAAGTATAGATTCCCCAAGGACAAGTTCATGCAGGTGGGCACCTTATCCAATCAGATGCCATATTCATGTGTAACCAAATCAAAGCTAGTACAAGAGGGACATTTTACAGAGCTCACTTTTTTATTGTTTCACTGGCTGGTGTGTTTGAACAGAAATTTTCCCCAAATTGCCCTTCAACAGTACAGAGGCTACATGTTTTCCTGAGATGCACATTAAAGAAACTGCAATCATTGTGACAACACACCCTGTAAATTTGATACGTCTTTTGGATGCTAATGCTGGCAACCCATTGCAGTTAATTGCAAGTTTTACTTGCAGATGGCAAATGAAGTCTTACTATAAAAGAGATTTCTGATGTAGGCTACTATGTAAATATTTATGTTATTTCTATGGAGGAATGCCTTACAATCAGACAAACCACACAAAGGCAAATGAACTCATCAAAAGAAACCACAACTGAAAAGCAAACATTGAAAAAGAATAAAAAGCCTCCCTTCTGAGAGAACCTAGGGCCCAGGTAGCACTGCGGTGTTTTCCCTCAAGACAAGATTCATTTTCTAGTTTGCAGGTGCTTCTAGATTATTAATTGGATGGAACATCTGGCCCGGTCCACCTTAAATCTCAGGAATCTGCTTTTTTTCATGGAAGCAGGGTGTTTTGTCAGGCACAAATGACAAGAAAGGCTGTATTTACTGACACAGTTGTTACAAAGTAGCCAGGACAAAACCACCACTCACACTCAAACACAACAACTTCCAGCTGCTGTGATTCATAACACTCAAACCTGCTCTGAACCAAGTATTTTGTCTCCTGCTCACAGTTTACAGTCTTTATTCCTAGATGTTCAGTAGCAGCAGAAAGTCTGTGTTTTGTCAGTTATGGTTCATTTATTTCAGTTTTGGTTTTTAACACTATCACATATCACCGGCACCAAATCATTAGAAATATAATTACGTTTATTCATCTTCTAACTCCAAATATTAATAGATCTTTTTCATTACAAATATTAACAAGAACACAATGTGCCACAAATACAGTCACATTTGGCCATTGAACTGTTTCTAATAGTGCATTGTGAATCTAAGCATGATCCCACAAAAAAAAAGCACTGTCCAAAACCTACACCCTATGCACAAGGTATAGATATGGGCTGCCTGCCAACCATGGAACTTCCCAGGGGTTCTGCTTGATCACAGTAACAGAAGTTGTCAGCAATCAATATCCAGAGGGTCACTGGACTAAGCAACAGTGCTCGTGTCTTGTCAACCCTTTGGTATCTGGTTTGGCAAAACTCCATACTAGCAAAATGCAGCAAAAAGACAGAGCTGTTTATGGCTGGAGAGGTACTAGGAGAGATAAACACAGCTATAGCACCGAAAAGCAAGTTTAATAATTGGATTTAAGGTCCTCCATTACATTCTTTTCACCAAAAGCATTGATTTATTCACATACCAGGGAATCACCCACAACAGCCTCCATCCAGACATCTATTTTTGATGCATTAATTAAGCAGTCTTTAACTATTTTGTTTAACTAACCGTTTTGTTTCAGAAAGTTCTTTTGAGTTATATTATTTTCCTTTTTTTCTTCTTTTCTCTATGTAGCAACTAAGTTTCAGCTATTGTTTTTCCCCAGATTCCCAGCTTTTGGAAAGAGAGTTTTGAGTGAGTGTGACCATAACTGGGATACTGCCTTCTCATAGAAACCTGTGTACCTCAGACTGGATGTTCAGAACCAGTGGCCACAGTAGCTAGCAAAATAATTTGTGATCAAAATAGCTCAATCGGGACTGAAACAGAAATGTAACGTAAGCCCCTGGTTTCCTTCTTTCATATTAGTTCCTCTTGGGAGAAATACAGTAAGTAGCATAGTAGGATTAAGGCACCAATACAGGAAAACTGATACCTGAGCCCAAATATCTCTCTGTCTGCAGCAACTTGGATTTCAGTATGATGATGCAAATCATAACCACCCTTCGCTGCCAAGGGACTTTGGAAATAACAGATTTCCAGGGCAAAATATAAATGACCTTCATCTCTGCACAGCATATCAGACTACTCTCTTTTCCCCAGCTTAGGACCCTACCCTTATGCAATATTATCATACACATCCCAGAATCCATACACTGGTGGATGAGCCTATGCTTGTCTTAAGGTGAACTTGAGTTTGTCAGACCAGGCAGAGCTGTGGTACAATGGCTTAATTAATTCCTGGGAAAATGCAAGGAATGTCCTGAGGAACTCTGAAAACATGATTGACAGGTTTGTGTAGAAAAGCTTGGAGTGTAAAAGCAAAAGAGGATGGGAGAACTAACAGGAGCAGTAGGCAGAAGATGGTGCTGTGACTCTCCAAGAAGCCAAAAGCCAAGAACAACCAATCCTCTGAAGCACTCAGAAAAAACCACCCCAAAACCACAGAGCATGTTTGGCAAACACTGAAACAAAAATGTCACCATCTTGCCAAGTTGGCAGAGAGAGGCATGATGTGTGATCATTGTAATGAACCCTGGCTAACACTAGTGCGTCCCTAGCAGAGCCTGGTAAGGGAGGCTGGGCTGAAACGATCCAGGGTGCCTCCAGATCATCGCAAGGTATCTGTCAAAGTCATAAGAAACCTTCCTCTCACAGATGAGGGGCAGAGAGAGGGAAACCTTTCATTTTTTATTGTATTTTTTCACTGTATTTTGTTTCTCTGGAAAGTAAGACAACTAAGTCAGAGTACAGTCTAATGGAATTAGTCACAGTTGCTTCTGAAGTCCAGAAACTTGAGGTTCCTGAGCTCTCTAATGCTTTTTTTTCCTATCTGTAAGTATGTAAAATAAAATGGAAAACTCTAACTATGATGGTGATGAAGACCATGAAAATTGTTATACCTGAAGTGGCTTCTATGGCTGCCAGTCAAGCCTGAGAACCATCTGCATTAGAGTCTGTGTTAAATCCACAGCAAACCCACGTTCCATAAAAACCCTATGGCAACTGGCTCAGACAACACATTTCAGAAATGCAAGTATGAAATATGGGTCTTCTTCTTCCATGCGTCACCTACACAGATCATATAATGCTTGTACAAGTCATTGCAGAAGACTGACTTGGAGTTTCCCTTACGTTCATGTGACCTACAGGTAGCATCTTCCTGAGCAGAAAGGAAGCTGCTTTTTCCTCTAAGCAGCACAACCCAATGCTGTAAGCTTGGAATGCTGTGCTGCAAAGTGGAGCCAGCAGTTCCAACAGCACCAACTGCTACCGTTGCTATTCACAGTGCATCCTACTTTATTTTGCTTTATATAATAGACATAATGCAGGAAGCAGATGCCATGGCAAGATCACTTCAACAACTCTGTTTTTTACTGATCTGAATGTCACAAGTTTACTGTGAAAAATTTATACTAGTTAGCCACTGAAGCAGTGCGTGCTATTGACAACATCCTAGGTGTGCAGTGAGACAGTGAGACAAACAGGCAGCTCACACAGCAATCTCCTTCCTTCAGTAAACTGGTGGGAATAATATTTTAATTAATTTACCAAATAAATGATCTTTCTATGAGTACCACAGTCTGAATGCACTCCTGTCCACTGGCAGCAATGTGTTTTGAGTTGTGACCCTGTCCTGTAATCCTGCAGGTTATACAGTCAGATGAAGCTCCTATCAGAACAAGGGAATCTTCCTCAGGCAGGGTGAAGTATTTTGGTAGTGATGTGAACGGCACAATGCGCTGCCATATGTTGACCTGCTATCACACTGATGGAGCTAGAGGTGTCAGCCTATAGATTAAGTAGAAGCCCTGTGTTCTTACCTTACTAAATGACTGTAATAAATTAATAACATGAAAGATCCCATAATGTTATACATGACAAGTACAGTGTTCATATAATTCTCTTGGCAGAGGCCAAAGCCAGGTAATTATCCTCTGCCTCCCTTGACTTGCTCTGTGTGGACAGTGGCTCAAATACTACTTCTGCAGTGATGCTGTTAGGAACTGTTTACTGTTAGTACTCTCACAAGCTACCCCAAAGACAAACACGATGCCTTTAAGGTTTGTTCTCTTTCCTTGTTTATGAAAACATGTTTGATTTCAAAGGACATCTTTGCTTGAATATCACTATTCAAGGGAGAAATGTGGTGAAGCACTCATCTGTGATTGTTTATGTCAAGCACTGACCAAACAGCTGACAAGTGCTCTTTGTAATGCTACAGATGGGGAGAGCAGCGTAGAAAGCTACTCCTCTATTCATACATAAGGACCAATTTAAAACTGGGATATTACTCAAGTATCTATAAAGACATCCAGAAATACAAAACTATTTCTTTTCTGAAGTCAACTGAGAAAATCAGACTTGGTTTAGATGCACAAAAGATCATAAGCTATGAAAAAAAGAAAAGCTAGGGCAAATGCTGGTGGCTGCATTATTAAAAAATGTGGTAGTTGTACACTTAGCCTAAATTTCACATGAAACTGATTTCAAACTAAAGTTCCAAGAGAAGGTCCTGGGACAAATCCTTATCTTCTATGAGTTACTATTTATTGAAATTTTAATAAACGTTCATTTCACTAACTACAAGAGTATCTCACATGGCAGGAAAGTAAAGCTTATCTTGGAGGAAAAGTCTGCTTATCTTGTGCTGCTCATCCTCAGCAGATTTGCTAAAAACAGACTAAGAACTTCTGAATGATCAACTTTAATTTCACTTTGTGAGTCCGTTCATTGAAGCTAACGCCATTTGTGATTAGCACTATAGCATATAAGGTCATCTGTAAATAAAATTCTACAAGTATCATAAATACACAAGTAACAAGAGTTTGATCACATGCAGGGGACCCATTCGCTAGGCAGTAGGTATGGCCTCAGTCCTGTTTTCAGACTGAATAGCTGTGCACCAGAAACAGACCTCAGAAATGTCAAACCAAATCTTCTGCTATTATATTATTCTTCTATTTCTCCATTTGTTCTGTAATTTGTATGGAAAGCAAAATTTGGACGATTGCATTGTCATGCTAGCAATAAAACCACACAGTGTTCTTCAACTCCCTTGCACCAAGATGAATTATTTTGCAACTTTGTACATGCTGTTAAATCGTGAACTGGGGCAATGGGCAAAAAATGGATTTATTACATAATAGAAAGTACTTTAGATATATACCATCTCCCCACTGCTCCTCTGACAGGTGTCTCTATTTGACCTGTTCTTGACTTCTGCTTTAGATGTTGAGATTAACCCAGCTGAAATGTTACCCACCCTAAGTAGGCTGCATTAAGGGTGTTATGTTCCTCTATTTAAATGCCAGCTTTCAGCTCTATTCCTTTCTTAACACTGCTTGATAGCTATTCCCTGTACAGAGAAATCATATAAAACGTCACAACAAGTTTGGCCCATGTGTACTGCTTTGGCACTTAATCTTGGAAGAAAAAAGAAGACCAGCGTCTGCTAAACAAGTGTCTGTAAAGATGGTGCAAGAGCTGATAAGGGGAGAACAAGAAAATGAGGTAAGCCAAGTACTGTAAATAGTTTTAGAAGACCAGCAGGGTCCTGAGCTTTCACCCAGCACCTTCAAGTGTGAGTAAGGTAAAGTGAAACAAGGCAATGTCAAATTTCCTGCTGCTACTCTACAAAAGTCTTGGCAGAAAAGCTTCAGTAGTCACAGAACCCCAGTGTCCCCTGTGCCCCAGAGACCCTCTACAAGGTATTTTCTTGCAGGCCTTTGGGAAGCCTTCAACAATTTCTTTCATTTTACACAGGTTTCCAGTTAACTTTAAGGAGCAACTCAGAACAGCTATGTGAAGTAGGTTATGTACCTTAGGGAACACTGGCATTTTGTGTAAATGTGACCCCTTAGTATCTCTTACCACATTGCTGATTTAGTAACACTTCAAGAATGCACAGGTACATTTAAGGTCAAATACTGCTACAGAAATATCAACCTGACCATAGGCACATAGTCTTTTGACAGCCCTCAGGATCGGAAGACTCTTGCTGGTAGGATTATTTTAGAAACCAAGCTTGGTCAGATACACAAGATGGAAAACTGCAAAACTGGCAGTGTGATTTCCTTGCCCACTGCAACAGCTTCCATAAGCATTTTATCTTTTATAAAGTAAATGCTGGTATCAAACTTAAGCATGTTACAAATGGCTATATTTAATGGCCTGCTTATATGGGTATATCTGACTCTTAGTAATACTAGGAAAGAAATGCATTGTAGATATTGATTGCTGGTGTAATTATGAGTCATTTCCTCTGATACAGTGCTTGTGCCAATGAAGGTTAGAATGCCCAAGGCACTGTTTTAGGCTTAAAAAAAAAAAAAAAGGAAATAGAAAGGGAGTGTGCACTGTAGAAAGGCAATGACTTCTATTCAGAAAACATCTCTGTTAGGATAGCTTGGCTTTCAGAAGAAAAGATTTTACATCCCTTCTAATACAGTTTGACCTGGTACCATCAGGACAGTTAGTATGTTCTGTGCTTCTGTTCCCTTTGAGAAATGACATGTCATGTGAACCCTATTTTCTCATATGGAGTTTGACTTCTGTTCTAATTGTTCTATCATTGAAAATAAAAATTTTCACTCAGTGCAAAATGGAGAATGATGGAGAATTGTCGCACAGATACTCTTAGGGAAACCAGTTAGATTGTTTATGGTCCTGACTAGGATGCTGAAATCAGTCATACTTATAAGTAGTGGTCCAACACATACTTAGAAACAAAGAACTCCTTGATCTAGATTAGACTTTATGCCCGAACTTATGTACCCTAGGGACAAACTGACTGCCAAATGCAGCGTATGTCCCCAACTGTCCTCCATGACTAAGATCTTGAAGTCTTCAAAGAGGATTCTGACTGTTAGCAAGTCTTCTCTTTTTTTTTTTTCCTCTCATAATGAGCACAGCCCTTCTCCAAAAAAAGCTGGTGTTGCTTTGCAGATGGTAGACATCTGCAAAAGAAATGCATCATCTTGTATTGCTCATGTTATTACTATAGGCACAGAGCCATTTATGTGTTACCTAACAACTACCTCGTTAGAGATGAAACTTATCCTGTGAAGAGAGCTAATACCATGCATCCCCGACATCACCCTAATCCTATTGTGACAGCCTGATTAGCATTTATGCTAGCCTAAGACCTTTTACCTGTATGTGCAAATACGAACTGCCACATCTACTAATGTGAAATGCTTTATATAACAGACAATGCCCTGCCCTGCAAGTGCATGGAGAGAGAGCTTGTCTGCATTCTATCATTTGGTATTCAGGAGTTTATTTAATACTAATCTGGAATGGAGATTAGAGTGCAAGAACAGCAGTGATAAAAACTGACTTCAGAAATCAAGGCATGATTCACCTGACAAAGCTTTGAAAAACATAATCTGGATTGAATGAGAAGCAGCTGTATTGGCATCACTTGGTGATTCTCACAAGAGAACATGCACCTTACGTATGCTACCAGAGTGGTTATGGCAAAGATTAAAATATTAATGTAGTGCCAAAAGATTTCAGAGCTGAACTTTAACATCCTGCATGAGGCAACTCCTCAGATATGTCTGAGTAGTTGCCTCAAAACAACCTGATCTGGTTCCAGGGTATTATGTATCCCCAAGCCTCGATCCAGTCTTTGGGAATAAAGCAGAGGATCTATTCAGTTCAAGAACAATGAATCTGCCTCAACAGCAAGACATTTTTAGGACCTTTTCTTTCTCACTGCATTTCAGCACCATCTTAAGATCATTATGCAAAAATAGAAACATTACTTTCCTCATATTTTTATCCTAAAATATTTTGAGAGACATATAAGGCTGAAAACAAAATCAGAGGTTGAGATTCTGTTACTAGCCTTATTCTTCTA